AAGAGGACAACGACGAAGAGAGAGAGAGAGAGAGAGAGAGAGAGAGAGAGAGAGAGAGAGAGAGAGAGAGAGAGAGAGAGAGAGAGGCTGAGCGATACAAGATTGGTTACCACGTACCTGCTGTGCTGAAGATTGGTTGTGCGGTCCAAGAAGAAGTAGCGGCCATAGCCGCAGAGCTCAGAACACGGAGGAAGAAGGAGAGAGAAGCAGGAAGGAGGAAGAAGGGAAAACGAAGGTGAAGACAGACATAGTCGGGGGTGTACAAAAAAAAAAAAAGAGAAACAGCGAGAAAGAAGAAGGGTGAAGGATTGGCGAGGAAGAAGGTGCCGACAACCATAGCCGATCAGAGGGTTGATTGGGCGTTGACCAGAGGGTTGACCGGAGCGGGGGCTTGACCACGTTGACCAAGTGTTGACCAAGGCGTTGACCGAAGCTGCTGACCACTATTTTGACCAAGCTGGAGCTGGTATAATCTCGCCGTGCACTCACCCTATGGTACTTGCTGAGTCTGAGTCTGTCTGTCTCTTCTTTCTGCATTGAGTCTCTTATGTCCAGGTGATAGGACTCCGTGTATGAAGGATAGGGCCTCGTTGACCAAACCCGCATGGGCTGAGTAGGGCTAAAGACTACGTCTGACGACTCGACTGTCCCGGAGGACACGAACCCTCCCAAGGACCGGTACTGACCGACGGGCTGCTCGGTGTGGCACGGTAGGCCCAAAATCCGAGCTGTGGGCTGCACAACGGGCCGTCTAAGTCTTGAGGGAACCTGCTGATCGCGTCATCCTGTCTGCGACGTTAAAAAATTCTTGAGGAGTTACGGGGGATCTCCTTAAATGCCTCCTGATCAGCAACAGGTTTTGTAGTGACGGTTGTAGTTAGAGTCTAGGCTAGTGCCCCTAGTTGACAGGGTCTGAACCGGAGTGAAAGCCAGGTGGGTTTGATCGCAGGTGCTGGGCATCTGGGTCTGGATTGTAAGGACTGTGGTTGTGAAAGATTCTGTCGGCCGTGGTAATCTGGCTGGAACGAAGGGAAAGATTTTGGGGTCCTTAGAGAGTCAGTTAGTCAGTGGTCTGGGTAGGTCTACGTGGTGAGAAGTGGGACATTGTCGTGCACCTGAACACCATGGACGACTACCCCATGTACGACTTGCTCGTGGGGTTCTCCCTTTGGGAGACCCTTTGGGGGACCCTTTGGCGTTTCATTTTCCCACTGGGATTCTGGAACACGTTTTCGTGTAGGGTAGACACACGTACGGGGACGAGTACCTCGCCCTACACGACCGAGCAGGAAGCAAAGGCCGCCGCCATCCTCAAAGAGAGGAGAGAGAATAAGGAGGCCAAGAAGAAGGCCTTGTTGGAGGCGCAGGCGGCGAAGTTGAAAAAGATAGAGGAAGAGATGGCCAAAGAGAAGGAGAGGTTGAAGAAAGAAGAAGGAGAGAAGTTGAAGGCGGTAGAGGAAGAAGAAGAAGAGGAAGAAGAACAACCACTAGAAATGCGATGGCAGGAGGAAGAGGAGAATCTAGTGGCCCGAAAGAGGATTTGATGGAGAAGAAGATTACAGAGTGGGTTGCGGGACTATCCCTGGGAGAACATGAGGAGGCCCTAATGTATGTGCCCAGGGACGAACAGGAGGCAGCAGTAAAAGAATGGGAGGCTGAAGAAGATCCGCTTAAGCGGCAGGTGTTGGAAGATGAAAAAAGGATGGAGTGGAAGTTTCGCATGACAAGGGAGAGGAAAAGAAGGATGGAGGCGGCAAGTCAGGCGGCGCTAGAGCTAGAAGAGATAAAGAAACAAAAGGATCAGATGGCGGTGCAAGTGGATTTATAAGGGAAGATGGAGATTATGGCAAAGAATATAGAGCGCCTAGCACGAGTCCAGGAAGAGCAACTTTTATTTGGTAGAAGTCAGGACATTGTTGTGTGCTCTATACGATCGGGGCTCCGGGACTTTGCACGGGAACTAGCGACACAGGTGGGCTCCGAAGTGATGGCCCGCCTAGACAGTACAGAGCGCTATTGCACGGGTGCCATAGAGGGCGCCAAACTGACTGCCCCCAAGGAGGAGGAAGCACGACCCCGTAGGGAGCCTGTCAAAGTCAAGTTCCCCGATTCCTATAGTGGAAAGAAGGAGGAGAACTTTGACAACTGGGAGGCCAATATTAAGACCTATGTGCACTTGCAAAAGGTCTCCCCAGATGAGCACGTGCTAGTCGCTATTCACGCGCTAAGGAAGGAGGTCGCCAGTTTTGCCCGATCCCTAGTCCGCGCTGCAAATTGCAACGAGGATGTAGTTTCCTACTCTGTGTTTACTCCCCTCGCTGACTTTCTTAAGTTGTTGCGCGAACGATTCGCAGAAATCTCGCGTAGTGTCAAAGCCTCTGACCGATTGCAGACTATCCACTCTCGTCAGTGGAGGAGTGCCAAGGCACTCAAAGGGGTAATGGACGAGTTAGTGGTTGTCCCTGACCATGGGGTCACAGAGACCCAACTGGTCAACCTCTTCTACTGGGCTATGCCCGAATCGTTACATGGGCACTTCTTTGAGAAGAGCCAGCAGCCTACCATGACCTATGATGCTTTGAGCAGGGAAGTGGTAGCTTTTGAAGCACGGTCCATGTCAGTTTCCACTTTCTGGCAGAAGGACCTTGACAAAGGGAAGAAGTGGAAGGGTCACACTATCTCTGGGCAGATCAAGACCAAGGACCGTTTGCTCCTTACGTTAGATGAAGGTAGTGTGGAGGAAGTCCCCTACGATCAGATAGAGTGGGGGCTAAAGGAGGAGAAGGAGGACAGTAGCGCTAGCCAGGGGAGGACTTACGCTGCTGTCGCGGCCGAAGGAAGGCCGCAAGGAAGAGGAGGAGGCCAGGGCCAAGGGGGTCGGGCCTCAGGTGGCCGTTTCCAGGGCGATCAGGGGGTTGGCGGTAGAGGAGGAAACCGCCAAGCGGGAGGAAGGGTCAAGGTCCCCCGCAAAAATGTTATGGCAACCGTTCACCTAATAGGGGTAATAGGTCACCCTATAGGAGAGGTGGTTGGCACCCAGGTCTGCCACATGGCCGACCTTGGGAGGATTTGGGCCTCGACTAGTGCGTCTGGCAGCAGCGTGTGGATCAGGGGCAGTGC